TTTAACTGGGAGATATCACAGAGTGCAAGTTGGCTGATGATGAAGAATTTCAGTGGGAGAGGATGAATGAAAGTGGTTAGCACAGATGGTAAATTCACTGAGAAAAATAAGCACATTATAAATGTAGCATTTGAAAAAGGTGAACCTTTCTGGCTGGATTTTGAAAATGGGATTTCAGAATGGAGGAAAATTCAAGGGGGCTGTTCAGATGGGCAATCCACGTTGTTTTCTTGTTTGTGACTAAAATGTAGAGAAAGCCAAGGAGGAAGAGATACAGATCTGGAGAAACAAATGGAGTTTTTATCCAGGTTCCTGATTTCAGACAGGATAGAATATTTACAAGATGGGTATATAGTGAAAAAGAGACATCAAAAAACCCTGTTATCAAAGCGTGAATGGTTGCTTGGAGATTTCAGGATAAAGGAACCAAAACTGTTCATACAGATTCCATCCCACCCCGTTTGCTCCAAGGAAGGTTTGTGCATTGTCTTAGCCATCATATCATCTTCAGGATGGACTTTATGAACATAAAAACTGCCTTTTTAAGAAATAATTATTTTCAAAGGAATGTTTATCGTGCCCTGAAACCTCCACTAATTGTATCCGGAAGCTTCGCAAGTGTGTCTATGGTCTTAATGATGCTTCCAGATCATTCTATTTGACTGTCATAAGCACTCTGTTGGAACTGGTAGCTACCATATCTAAATATGACCAAGCAGTTTTTACTTGGTATTATGGCAAAAAATTGAACAGTATTATTTCCACCCATGTTGATGATTTTTGCTGGGCTGGGACTGTACATTTCAAGGTGGAGTAATTAATTGGATCTGAAAGAAATTTGTAATGAAGTCTGATGTAAAGTCCACCTTCAAATATTTGGGAATAGAAATATCTCAAAAGAGTAAATTAGTGAGTATTAGAATAACTATACTGAGTAAATTAGTGAGTATAGAATAACTATACTGCCTCTCTAAAATTCATACTCATCCACAATAAAGATAATGAAGAAGAACTTTCAGAGTCTGAGTATACCAATGTCCAGAGGTTTATTGGTCAATTAAATTGGTCGGCCACCTAGACCAGACCAGATTTGTGCTTTGATGTATATGACTCTTTCAAATACTCCTACATGGTATTGAATAATTTTGAAGCCCCCCCCCCCCCCATGATACATTGACAAAGCATCTCTGCATTATTAATGTCTACTGCATAAACCAATTATTTTAGGTGGCCTGGTGGATAAAAATTCAAAGGATTAAGATCAGGAGAACATGTAGGCCATGGAACTGGTCCTTCCCTACCTATCAATCTTTCATGGTAGATGTCAGCCAGTGCATCGCAAACAATGTAACTAAAATGTGCTGGAGCCCCATCATGCATAAACCACATTCATCTTCATATTAGCAGGGGAACATCCTCTAGCAGGTCTGGAAGTGTGTTTGAAATAAAGTCCCTGTAGACAGCTTCTGTAAGATGTGCCAGGAAAACATATAGACCTACAAGACAGTCACCTACAATTCCAGACCACATATTAATCATAAATTGATGCAGATGTTTAGCCTGTATTGTACTATGGGAATTCCAGTCTGCCCACAAATGTTGGTTGTGTAAATTTGTTATTCCTTTTCTTCCAAATGTTGCCTCATCCATGAACAAGACTGAAGAGACAAGCAACAGATTGGCAGTTTTTGCAATAAACCATTGGCAAAAGTTCTCCTACAAAACCCTACACATGTTGGAAATGATACGGATACAGGAACTACTCTTGAAATACTTTAAATGTGGTACTATGAGAGGTATGACAGGCTAGGGCCATGTGACATATGCTGATACCTGGATCATCTCCAACAGCCTGTAGAATGTCTTCCTCATAGTCAGGTGCATGAGTGGATCTCTGTCTTCCTTGATCCATAATTTGTGATACCACAAATCCTCTCTCAGTAGCATGACGATAAACAGCAGCAAAGATTAGATGACTTGAGTGCCCTTGGTCTGGGAACACAATCTGATACAGCCATGCAACCTCACATTTATTACCATTCATGCGGCTGTATATAAAAATCATATCTCCTTGCTCATGATATGAATATCCTGCCATTGTTAAATGGAACACTTCTCAGTTAACTCACTACTACACACATTAAACATTGAAGACAGACAAGCCACAAGTGTACATGAATGACAAATGTGACCTAGTCTAGATGGCAGCACAGCACCATCTACTGTAAACTTTCTTTAAACTTAATAACTTGAAAACAAAGGATTTGCAGACATGTTTATATGGAATTTTGTCCTTGTTTTGGTGTGAGGAAACCACGCTAACAAATTTGTAAAAGTATTTTTGATACACCCTGTATATAAACAAGATCTGTTAAATCCAACCTATTACCTTATCTATATCTATAATTCTCAAAATATGTGTGTGTGGATGTTGTTTATGCATTTCCACAGTTTTTATCCAATTTTGATGAAATTTTTTTGTTTGATAGATAATTCTTCAGTACCAGTTTCGAGCCAAAATTGTTGGCGACAATGGCTCTCCACTACTTCCTGTCCATTAAAACTCTCAGCAATGTTTTACTATTTACTATCCGTTTTTGGATATATGTCTTTCATAAAAAACTTTAATAAAAAAAATAGTTTAAATTATTACAATAATATTATTTATTATTATACAGTTCCCTTTTCAGAGCCACCCCCCAATTCAAATTGTTAACCCCCCCCCATTTGGGGATGTGCTTCAGTTGCACCCAATTTTTGTTACTAATATTGATTTTCAGGTGGGCAGACTTTAAACTTAAACTGCTCAAATTGAATGGCAAAACATTCCCAGTAATAAATGACCTGATAAATGATGTATCTAAAAAATGAGAAATTATGAAAATTCATAATTATTGTGAACATCATTTTGTATTATACTGTTTTCTAGTCATACCTGAAATGCATAACTGAGGCTCAAGTGACATCAAGTTTATTCACATTTCCAGTTGTATATTTTTGCCATGATCTTTATATTTCCCTAGTACTATTCACGTTCCCTTTGTTACTACTATTACTACAACTAACCCAACTATAACAGCTACTGGTCTTTGTAAGATGATTTCTTGCTCCCTCCTTGTACATCTCTACAGCAACCTCATTTAGTAACCCTCTATTTTGAGTGACTCTTTGTCCTTATATTTGTTGAACAATAGTAAAAATAAAAGGCATAGAAAGAAAAATGCAGGCAGTTTTTTTGTACAAGGCCTGGGAGCCACTTGAGGTAGAGGATTATAGAGTAAAAGGTAAAACTGATGTGGATATATGTGGAAGACAATGGTTAACCCTATACCTGAACAGGTTAAGATTGTACAGATCAGTGAAGCAACCGCCTGGGGGTGAGTTCTACAAAGCAGCGGTTTGTGGCAAAGAAGTTGCTTACATCACACCAGGGGTATATGAAGGGAATGAGGGTGGTTTGCTATAATGTGCATGGCATGGTGGGTCTTAGCCGTGAATGTTAGGACTGGTGGAAGTAAGGAGTGTAATTCATCTGAACACTCACAATGGAAGTAATGATAGAGCACTAAGAGGCTTGCAATGTCTGTGAGAAAAGGGTAGCAGAGTAATAAAGGAAAGTGAAAAGAAAAGGTTAACCATCAATTGTAAGAAAAAAAAAGTAAGGTCATCAACAAGAGGGGCATCCCAAGATGTGAGTTACAAATTAGAGATGTCAGAATTTAGAGATTTTGAACAGAAGACAGAAAATGTGACACTGAATTTATGAAAGAAGCCTTTCAAAATTTAAACAAAGCAAAATTTTGTAAGAAATAGAGAAAAGACTGCTGATTTCTTATGTAATATCAATCCTCCTCTGTGGCAGTGAATGCTAGACAATCTTCTCACAGATAAAGAATTTGGTTCTACTGAAGAATGCTGAGAGTACCATGGTAAACCATATAAGCAACAAGGAAGTTTTCAGGAAAGTCAAAACAAAAATGATATTTGTACTTAGAATAAAAAAAAAAAAAAAAGACAATTGAAATTCCTGGAACACATAAAGAAAGAGGGCTTGGAGAATTTAAGACTCACAAGATATATTAAAGGTAAGAGGGGCAGAGGCAAACAATGTGGAGACTACCTAACAAGCTTATGTAAATGGCTAGCAGAACAGACACTGGCAAAGATAGTAAGTAGACAAATATTACTACAAAGGATAGGAAGTTGTGGAGAGCTATAATAAAGTTATAACGTTTCATTAGTAATAAAAATTATTTATTAGTATTTTATCAAGGACTTATTATGACAAAACCCAAAAAAATGGTATCAATTTCTTTATATATATTTTTCCTTCCAATCCTTTTGAATTAAATCTATTTTCATTCTTCCCATCATTCCACTGTCTTTCTCTGTCTTTTATTCACTTTTCTCATTCTCTCTCTTTCTTCAGTTAAATCTCTTCTTTAAAATTCATCTCTCTTCCTGTCTTTTCTTCAACTTGTCTTTTTTATCCTGCTTATTGTTAATCTCACTCACAAGACATCTCTTGCTTTTAGTCTTTCCTTGCTTATCTCCCTTTGTCACACTTTTCATTTAGACTTTTAACACTTTCCCAAAACTTTTCTCTCATTTCGCCTCCTGGCATTTAAGTTTTCGTTTGATTTGCTTATCTTTTAATCACTTGCATTTTTTTTTAATATTTTCTTCTTTCTACTTCTTCTGTTTGCCTTTTTTATTGCTATTACTTTCTCTACTTTTGACTGACTTCTCTTACCATGAGTGAGGGAAATAAAAAGAAAGTTGTTTTCCTTGTCTTTTTTTCTTTCTGTATTCAATGACAAGCTTTTCTAACTACTTGAATTCTTTTTTTACTCTATTTTTCTATTAATCTATCTCATCACTTCACCTTTTCATTCTTAATTATTTACTCTACCCACTGACTGCTTTCATTCTCTCTCCCTCTCTCACTAAATTTGTGAAAATTAAAGCCTGTTCAAATCTATCTCAATGTTTTCAGTGATATGTCTTTTTTTGTTTTTTTTTATCCTAACACAACTATTATCTATCTATCTATCTTCCTATCTATCTATCTTCCTATCTATCTATCTTCCTATCTATCTATCTTCCTATCTATCTATCTTCCTATCTATCTATCTTCCTATCTATCTATCTTCCCATTCATTCTCTATCTTCTTCCCATCATCTATCTATCTTCCTATCTATCTATCTTCCTATCTATCTATCTTCCTATCTATCTATCTTCCTATCTATCTATCTTCCTATCTATCTTTTGGGAAGTGTGCAATTCCAGGTTTACTACTTGAATGCTTTTCCTCAGTAGCAGAAGGATTACATACAAGCCTGTATGCTTATATGTAAATGAAGTAAAACTTATTTCAGTATCATTACATTATCTATCCTGTCCTTTATTATTGATATCACTCAATTTTCAATCTGTTCAATATCTATCTATCTATCTATCTATCTATCTATCTATCTATCACAACCTTTTCATATGCTTGTCTGTGCGTATCTATCCTTATAAAAAAAAAATTTTATAAGAAGAAAATAATTAAAAATAGCTAAAGGGTGACTATAAAATAATAAAACTATAATCCACCAAGTTAGTTTATTTTCTCTTTCTCTTGAGGGGGAATATAAAGATTTATGTAAAACCCGTAAATTAAATAAATGGTCAATAAAAAAGTGAAAATAAATGAACATAATAAACGTTGGTTTATTACACTTGCTTTTATAAGAAGTGTTTAAAATAATTAATGAAAGCCAGATGTTTAGTAAAAATAATAATAATTAAATCTGATGTATAACATTTGTTTTTTAAACTTTCTAAACATGAATGTCTTCAAAAAAAAAAATGCCAAAATATAGTGTACGGTTTGCCCATGTTAAAATTTGTATTTCAAATTTAAAAAAGGATGCACTTTTGTATTTTTTGACCATTGAAGAGGGTAACTTTCTCCCATGCAAATTAAAATTTGGGACTTTAGTCTGGAACCTATTTGGGGTCTATATAAGGAACAAAGTTAGTTGGGAAAATCAAGGATCAGAAGAATTTTGGCAGTCACAAATTAATGGTCAAGGGTTGTTTATGAAAAAGAATGAATTTTGACTGTCACCAGTGGATGAGCTAGGCTATTTCTTACTGTTTATAACAACAACAATAATGTTGATTATGATGATTGTGAGCACTTCCGGTCCACTAGGCAATGCTGGGAGCAGAACAAATCAAGTGGCAGTTTGAATAAAGTTGTTGAGTTTACCATGTTTTATGTTGCTTCAACTTTTCAGTGTCTAGTCTCATATAATTTATCTTTCCAACTTAAGCCCAGTGGAATGTGGTGTAAGAGAGGAATTCTTTATAAAAGAAGAAAATTATTTTCTTGTAGAAGAACAGGACCCAATTTGAAAAAAAAATTTATTAAAAAAAAAAAAGAAAAAAATGTTCAAGTTAACTCACAAGAACCATTTAATTTTACAAATCCAGGAAGTTGGCAGAAATGGTTGCAGAGATTTCAATGCTTTTGAGAAGCATTGAAACTCTGGGTAGAAGATAACAAAATTCAAATCAGTACATTAATATAATGAATGGGAAGTGAAGGTCAAAAATATATTCTAGACATTTTCTTTCTCACAACAAAAAGATGCAAATGTGTACGACTCGGTTTTAGAAAAAATCAATGCTTACTTTATGCCTAAAAGAAATATAATTCATTAAAGGGCTACATTTTATCTTAGAGTTCAGTTACCAGGAGAATCAGTGGAAATTAGTATTGCACAAATTAGTAGAAGCATGTGAGTTTCCAAAGAAAAATGATCTAATCAGAGACTGTTTTATGATAGGACTACAGAATAAAAATTTATCCAAAAGATTACAACTAATTCCTGATTTGAAACTTGTGAAAACTATGAAAATGACCAGGAGCAGTGAGCAAATAAAATTCAAAAATAATAATAATAATAATAATACAAGAGAAAGTACTGGAAAAACTTGGAGTAGACAAACAATACAAACTACAAAATATTTGATTGATTTCAGAAAGTGAGTTATTTCCCTTGGACTGTAACCAAAACAAACTTTGATTAGTAATTATTTATCTTGTAATTTGGAAAAGTTAGAAAAATTATGATGATTGTAAACTCTTTGGTCCTGCTAGGGAATGCTGGGAGCAAAACGGATCGAGTGGCAGTTTGAATAAAGTTGTTGAGTTTACCACGTCTTGTATTGTCTTTATGTTGCTTTAACTTTTCAGTCTCAAATAATTTATCTTTCCATCCTATACCCAGTGAAACACCTATGAAAGAAGTAAAAAGCAAAAGAAGAAAGACACAGAAACAGCAGAAGGTAAAAGAAACCAGGAAAGAAAAGTGAAAAATTCTTGTAATTAATTATTGAACCATTGCTTAAAAAAAAAGAATACAATGAGATTTATCTCAATATTATTATGAATCCTCTTGAGGGCAGATTTGTTTAAGTCCAAGTGACTCTGGTGAATCTGCCAAACTTGTCATTTTTTTAAAACTTTATAATAAGTAAACTTTTTCAAAAAATATTACTGTTGAACCTTCTTTTTTTTTTTTTGAAAGAAATTTTATTGCTGTACTTCTCAATAGATTTTTGGCTGTTAAAAGTATATAAAAAAAATGAAAATTTTGTTGAAAAAAAAAGTTTCTATGAGTCTAGCATTTTAATTTTTGAACTGGTTATCTTGCCTTTCTAATAATATGGTTCACAAAAGGAAAATTTTGTGCAATTTTATTTTTACATTTTGTATTCTGTTTGTTAATGTCTTGTCAATAAATGTAAATTTCATTCAATTTTCATGAGAGTTTTGTCTTGTTTGTACTTTGTGCATTAAGAATAATCAGGATAAGAGAGGTGACATCCTCTCTTCTCTCACTCCTCATCCCCAAATCATTTTATCTGTCTATCAATTTTTCATTTATTTTCTTTCTTTCTTTGTTTCTTTCTTTTTTATTTCTAGTCTTAGATTCCTTTCTTTCTTTTCCCGTCTACCTTTCCTCCTTCTCCTTTTCATCCTCCTCCTCCTTTATTTCTGAGTTTTCTTTATTTCTTACTCCATCTTTCTTTCGACATTATTTATTCTTCCAACTCTCCTTACTTCCATTTTTTTTTCTCTTCATTTTTTCTTATTTTTCTTTCTTTCTTTATTTCAGCTCATCTCCTTCTCTTTTCCTCACCTGTTAGTCTTCTTCTATGATTTTCTTTTTTTTCTCTCTATCTTCCCTCTCACTAATCTGTGTTTGTTTTTAATTCTTCTGCTTCTCTCTCTCTCTCCTTTCTTTATTCTTTCTTTCCTTTCATCCTCCCTCTTTCAATCTTTTATTTTGTCTTCCTAACTTTCTCTTTCTCTTATTTCTCTTCCCTATCTCTTATTCTTTCGCTCAAGCAAATTTCATTTCAAGCTGATGGCCATATCACATTGAAACATCAGTTCTCATATGATCACCAAAGTTAAGCAACATCAAGCAAGGTCAGTACCTAGATGGTTAACCACTTGGGAATACCAAGTGCTGTAAGCTTGGGTGTGTGGGTGGTGTAATCAATAATTACTCAGAATTGCAAGTTGAAGAGCTAAGTTCCAATCCCAGTCAGGTTCATTATATTCACTGATGAGCAAATACCCTTGGAAAAGATTGCTTCTCCTTTGTATGGGTTAATTAGTAAGATTTGTATCAGTAAAGTTATTATCTCCATAAAATTGTTACAATCTAAAAATATTTTCTGGCTTTTCCAGCAAAAGATTGATAAGCTGTAAAAAAACAAATAATTCAAAACTTTTAATTTCTCTTGCATTTCCAGCTTTCCTTCCTCATTTCTTCCTATACACACACACACACACACACACACACACACACACACACAGATGGATAAATTGTCATCTAAATTATGCAAAAATGAAAATAATACCGACATCTCATTTAACATACATTTGCCAATATTACACAAAAATATCTTGAGTAAAGTTATTCAATAAAATCATCATTGGCTTCAACCACAGCCTCCAGACAATTTCAGAATTGCCTGCAACTCTTCTGGCCATAATCCATGCCTTCAGTTCATCTTTGGTGTTACAAGGAGTTTTGTTTGTTTCTTGCTCAACTGCACCTCACAAATAATAATCAAGGGGGTTCTATTCTGGGGAGTTAGGTGGCCAGATATAAAGGGTGATGTAGTCGCAGATATTGTCTAGCAGCCATGACTGGTTTCTCCTGCTTGTACGACATGGTACAGAGTCCTGTTGCCAGACATACGGTCTTCTAGCAGCCAGCTTCTTGACTACCTCCTCAAGTGTTGAGTCTGAGGCCCTAATAGAAGATTAATGGAGTCATGATACTGCCATCACTAGTTATCACTCCAAACACCTTCTGAATCATCATTAGACTCATCCAACTCTTTCTAAATCCTGTGCACTATCCTCAGATTGACACCCAAACACTCTGAAATGCTTGTACTGGAGCTTCTGGCATGAATGCCAAGCAGTACTGCATGCTGTTTCCAAATTTCTGGCGGAGTAAATTGTATCTTCATGCACTTTTCTTACAGATGGTGCCCAATTGACCCTACTATACTGTGTAGTCAACAAATTCAAAAACAAACAATGCACATGCACAAAATTAAAAATATAAAATGGCGTCAATTTACCCATCAAACCCTGTATATGTGTGTCTGTGTTTGCCTTGACTTTTTTCTTTCTTGGATATTTTCTCTCACATTTCACTTTTCACGTTATTAATTCCTTCACTTTTTCATTGTCTTTTTTTATCTTCTTCAAGAGTTCCCTTCAGCTTTCTTTTTTTTTTTATTGTACTTTTTCTTTTCATTCTATTCATTCTTTTTTCTCTATTTCTTTCTCTTTCTTCTGGCTTTTTCTTTTTTTTTTCTTTCTTTTTACCATTGACCATCTTACTTTCATTCTTTTCCTTCTTGAAACTTTCTTTATATTTTTCCTTCTTCCTGTCTTCTTCTTATTCATTCTTTCTTTCAATTTCTCTTTTCTGCTCATTCTTGTTACTTATTTATTCTTTTTTGTTTGTTTCTTTTTTTTCTTTCTTTACTCTTTTAGTTTCTTTTTTCTGTTCTTGTTTCCTTTTTTGTTTGTTTCTCTTGATTTCTCTTTTGTTTGTTCATATTCTTTCTTTTTCTTTCTTTTTTCTTCTTGTTTCTTTCTGTTTGTTCATGATACTTACTTATCCTGTTTTCCTGATCATTTTTCTTTATTTTGTTCATTCTTTCTTTCTTTTTTCTTTTATTCTTTCTCTTTTCTTTCATTCTTTCTGTTTCTTTCTTGAATATTCTTTCTTTTATTTTTTTCTGTTTATTTTTGTTACGTTTACTTATTCTGTTTTCTTCATGTTAATTTTTGCTGCTTTCTTTCACTGTCTCCTTCGTGTGTGTTCTTGTTACTTTATTTCTTCTTTCTTTCCATTCAGTCTCTTCTTATATATTCTTTCTTACTTTCACTTTCTTTGTTCCTATTACTCCTTGCGTTATTCTTTCTTTTTCTTTTTGTTCTTTGTTTATTTGTTTCCTTCCATTCTTTTCTTCTTCTTAATTAATTCTTTCTTTGTATTACTTCTTTATTTCTTTCTTCTCTCTTTATTTTTACACTGACAATTTATTACCTACCACCACCTATTCTATCCCTTTCTTGTTGGTTATTTTCTTTTCTCCTTCTTCTCTCTTTCTTTTTAGTTTCTCTCTACGATCCATGTCAAGCCAGTCTCTGGTTTGTTTGTTTTTTCTTTCCTCTCGACTCATGTCTTCCTTCAACTCTGCTGTTCATATGGCGTGAACACACAGACACAGCCGTTTTCCAATGACTGACTGGAATATTTTCCTTTTTCTGTTGATAGCTTTGAACACACAGACATAGAAATCTGAATGCACACACACACACACACACACACACATGCAAATACATTTATATTTGCACATTTAAATGCAAACACACGCACACATATATGCTAATCTACAAAAAACACTTTAATACACATATATTTAGTAAAGATTTGTCTGGCACAAGGCCACAATATAGGAGTGTTCAGTGACTAACTCTCACTACTGGTTACAGTGGATCATAATATGATCTTTCTAACTGTTGCCTAGTGAATGGTGACAGTCTATTTCAAGCCATCTTTACATTCAGGCATGAAACAGAATGTTACCATTCAGTTTTGAACTCTATATATTTTATATAGCTGGCCACTCGTGTTCAACGATACCCGTCTACAAGGGTGGCTAGCCAATCCCTATTTCAGACGCTTGCTCAGGCACATTTGTGTTTATTCAACATTCACTGAGCCCACCTGTGGTTTACACTGCAACTACACTGAGCAGACCTTAGTTACAGTTTCTGGGGAAGAGCATGTTATCTAGTGTGATCAGTAATTTGAACAAGGCCAGCACGCTCAATGATTTGTGACTTTATGCTAGCACAGATATTGACGACCCCCAATTTCCCTCACAAGGTCTGGATCAACCTGTGGTATGGTTTTCAGACACCTCCCAAAGGTGCCACATGCTGGGATTGACCCCTCCAGTCTGACAACATCAGAAAGTCTCCTTCCTGATTAATCGATCATGGTGAGATTCGAACCCGAGTTTTATGGTCAGAATGTGATATATATCACACACACACACACACACACATATATATATGTCATTTGCAGACAGTACTGTTTCACTGTATCACAGCTCCTCAGTGCGACTAGACAACCGAATGCCTCAAGCCTGGATCAAAACCCAACCGATTCACATTCAGAGCTTCTACCACTGAGCCATCTTCACTCAACAGAACGAATCAGCCAAATCTAGCATATTGTTTTTACAAATGTTAACAAATGCCAAGCAGCCAAAGTGCTCCATTCATTTTACTGAAGAGCTTTGCAATTACGTAGTTGACCATTGTTTTTAGAATTAGCTTGTCATTCAACAGTGCTCAATTGAAAATATATTTTCAAGAGCTAAATTATCTTATATTTAAGTTGGTCCATTTCATTTTACATATATATATGGTGGTGGACTCTCCCATTATATTTGATGTATGAGGGTCCAGCATCTTAGTTCCTAGGAACTGACAGACAGACACCAGCACATATGATTTGATTATAGTGGTGAAGGCTTTGTGCAGAATCAACCACACTTTTTGAAGGGACGAATACAGAGACCTGGTGCACTATGTGCCACAAGGTCCCCAAACAACCCTCCACAGGTGTTGAATTCAGAGTTGTCCTTCTCCTAGACCAGTTGCCATCCAAGGCTATAGAACCCAGTCTGCTCTGCTATTTACGTATAGCTGGAGGGAGAAAAAGAGGATTAATACCTTTCCCAAGGTTATTAGCATGCAAGTGAATGTAATGGATTTGACTAGAATTCAAACTCGGCTCTCCAATTTGTCAATCTGAGCTGCCATCCACTACTCCACCATGCCTTTCCTATATATATATATATATATATATATATATATATATATATATGATTCTGGGCGGAATAAAAAGAATAATCTGTAATATTATCAAATTAGTTGGTGCCGATCATTTTCCTGCTGCCATCATGTAATGTCCTTGTACCTTTTCTACAAATATTTTTATGTCAATTGTTCTGATGAACTTCCCTCCTTGATATGTTGACTTCATTTAAGCATAGTATTATATTGGCAGCAATGTCTCAACATTTTACTATTGAAATTGCGGAGTGTAACTCTAAATTCTTTTCTGATAATTTCTTCTCTCACACTTCTTATCTATGAAACTCTCTTCCAGCTTGTTGCTTTCACGTCAACTACAATCTTTAAATATTTAAATGCAACATCAATTGTTATCTTCTGCCTCCTTTTTATTTTATTGTCCTTTCTTCTCAGTAACATTTTTTTTGGTTTTCTTAACTTCATTGTCTTTCATCCTTGTGTCTTAGTGGCCTTATCGCCTTGCTTGGGGTGAAATGATTAAAGAATATATTTATATATATAATTATAGTTGACTACATGTTTCTGGGTACAGTTTCCTGCTACAGTGGCAGGCTAATCCTTGTTGCAGATACCTCCTCAGGTACCTTTGTATTTCTTCAATATCCACAAATCCAACCTGAGCTTTATACTGCAACAATTTTGAGCAAACGTTTTGTTACAGTTTCTGGCTGGGAGCATATAATCTGGCAGGACCAGTTCAACTACTTTTATATATATATATATATATATATATGGAGTGAGAGATAGGTAGCTGTGAACAGACTGAGATAGACAGATATATAGATTTAGCAGGTAATTGAAAGACAAAGTGCAAAAAATGTGATGCATATAGTAACCTCCCGCTACATATATATGATCCTGCTAATAAAAATATTATTTAATCTGAAGAAGTCCTTTTAAAGGACAAATATGTTACAGAGTATTTTTTTCTATTTTGTCATTGAATTACACACCTTTAGTTGGCTATATTTTAGTTTATATATTATCATATTCTCACATAGGTAGATGTGTAAGTAACATATACTGTCAATTTTAAAACATAAAAAATAAACAGCTCCATAAAATATAATTGCAAGATCTATTTGCTTTGCTTTGAGGGCAACCTGTTATGCAAGGTCATTTTCTTTTTCTGCTGTGAGAACCAGTCCATTTTTCTCAGATGGGTGTGACCGGAAATTGTCCATTGCCAATGATTTTTGCTGCTGATGTCAGTATTCAATTCAATATCACACACACACACACACACACACACACACACACACACACACATATATATATAGTTAAACTTCAACTGACATCTCTCTGTCTTTTCCCACTCTCTAAATATGATAGCAATATTTCTTGATTTTAGCCCGGAGTAGTTTTTTCCCATTTTATTTGTGATTTTTTTGTAGGTCTTGAAGATTGAGAGCTGCTTTTTTAGAGGAGCTCTCATGAAATAAAAATTATTACCTGTTGGGTTTTAAGTGTTTGACATTCTTTAATTAATAACATATATATATATATATATATATATATATATATATATATATATATATATATATATATATTTTAAAATATATATTTAATCCTTTTTTTCATGCTAAACCAGGCAATAAAGCCACTAAGACACGAGGGATTACTGATTTTGAAAGAATAAGAAAAAGAAAAACATTATTAAGGTAAGAAAACAATAAAAGAAGAGGAATCAAGAAGACAGTAGATAATGATTGACATTGCATTTAAATTTTTGAAAATCAAATATGGCTGGAAAGCAAGAAGCTGGAAGAGAGTTTCACAGGTGAGAAAAGAAACTGTTAGTAAAGGACTAACATTTACATCTTTATCAATTCAAGTATAAAATGATGAGATCTTGCTGACAATATAGTACTATACTTAATTTCATAAAGTCTATGTACCATAGAGGAAAGTTCATCAGAACAATTCCCATGAACATATTTATAGAAAAGGAAAGGGAAGATAAATTAAAGTGGTGGGAAAGTGACTGAAGCTGAGATGCCAGGTCACTTTCCCCTATTATATTTTCCCTATCCTATTTCCTCTATCATATTTCCCCTATCCTATTTCCCCTATCATATTTTCCTTATCATACCTACACTTTATGAATTTAAGTGCAGTAGTACATTGGTAGTAAGATCTCATCATTTTACAGTTGAATTGATAAAGATGTAAATGTAAATCCAATAACATTGCAAATTCTTCCTGGGATTTTATCAAGAATTTCAAAATATATAGTAGCAGCACCAAACTATTTTTGGCAGTAATATTCCAAAGTAAGGATGAACAGTAAACTCATAAATATGTGAGATAGATTCTGATGGAAGAATTGTCTACCACAACACAGTAAAAGAAAATAAATCTATCTATCTATCTATCTATCTATCTATCTATCTATCTATCTATCTATCTAAGCAGTGGCTCATGCATCAAGACAAGCTTGCTCAATTGTGAAGACTAAAAGAGCCATTAGGAAAAGGTGGAATTACAAAGGTTACTCACAGATGATATGACATTTCCTATTCACTTAAGAAAGATTATTTGGTTCAGATAAGATTGCAATGGATGTATAATGTTTTAACTTAGTTTTGTTAATCACTATCTAAATGAGAAAATGGAAAATCCTGATTTTTATTTCCTTCAAAGAATTTTCAAGACGTTGACATTCCACACAACTTCAAAGAAAAGGTAAGAAAGAGCAATAACAATTATGGGCTTGAGAAACCTATTTTCTTGAAAAATTATTTGAAAAGAAATGATTTTATAAATTTCAGTCAGCAGTAGCACTGAGTGCTCGGACATTAAATGTTGAATCTTTCGTTATAAAAAAAATTGCTAATAATACCCTTATCCTTACTATTATCATAAAAACAAAAATTTAAACAATACCTTAACTGAATCCTCTCCAGAAGGGTAAAATTCCCTCCAAATTCACTATGGATGACCCATGTATATCTTTAAATTCAAATATAAACATAGCATATATCTATCTATAAACTCAAGTATAGTAATAATAATAAAAAAAAAAATCAGATTTTAGCATTAAATGACAGAACAAGTGTTGACATATTATAAATTCACTAACAAACCAACTAACAAAAACAACCTAAAAACAAATTAATTAGTTGGGTGGAGGTAACTGGTTTGAGTCTTAGACCTAAACTTTCATGTTTGACATTGGCACATGAGTTATCTGATGAATTAGTGATGTGTGTTATTTAGTTAGAAATAGAGGAAAAGAAATATTTAAAACACAAAGCTATTAAATCTCCTTTTGTGGAAAGGAAGAAAAGGTAAGTCAATATCTGTTGGACTCAACTGGAACCAGGGATAGAACTCATAACTACAAAACTAGTATTAAAAAGTTAAACTAAGCATGTTTAACCACTTGACTATGCCCAGTATTTACAATTGTGTCAGCATTTTGTAATCTTATGTATTAAATCTTAGAAATGAACAGAAATTAGTTTAAAGCTTCTAAATTTGAATGACTGCTAAGTTGTAGGGCTTGGCCTAGTGGGAAGAAAGGTTGAGTAAGTTTACTTTCTTGATTAGTTAGAAGTTGTTAGTTCAATACCTGTAACTGGTAGAGAAGAAATGTATGGTAATTAGTGCTAAGGTTTGTTAGTAACTAATAAATATTATGTTTAGTTTGATATTGCTATTTTATTTGAACTAAAATATTTTAACCTTCTTGGATATTTTATCTGGTTATGATACTAACTTTGGCCTTCTTTCCCATGAACCAGAATCCTGTGATTTTTTTTTTTACCTACCTCAAGGATTGAACTCACAACTTTAAACTACATAAGATGTTACAGTCATAACCACTATACCACTTACACCACTGTCCTAAGGCCCAATGGGCTTGGGAAATTTTGAAGCCTTAAATCTAATGTTCTTCTTTATCATGAATAACAACCTACATAATTATATTACATTGAATACTACCTAACTCCAGGGTTGAACTCACAACCACCAGGTAAAGGAAAAACACTTAAAAAGCACTTTTACCCACTGATCCACCATACAACAATACAAATTTTTTCTCTTTTATTTCTATTAATAATGCTGCTAAACAGTAATAGTTATTACTTATAGGCAAAGACATTTTTGACAGCATTGAAATAAAATGGCTAACTTTTATTTAATCATATTCCCAAGATGCAGACAGTTCATAAAATCCAGAGAGAAACCAGAAAGTGATCTTTTTTATTTACAGCTTAATAAGAATGAAATAATAATTTGAAGACTAAGTCATTCAGATCTTCATTAAAAAAAAACATCTGCCTTCTTTTATGTGCCATGTTCCTTCAGTACATGGCTCTCCACAATTTCCTATCCTTTATACCACCGAGCAATGTTTGTCTTTTTGCTATCCCTCTTACTCCTGTTCTGTCATCCATCTACAAAAACTAGTTTAGTAGGTTACTTGATGTTTTCCTCTGTTCTTCAGATTAACCAGTAAAGGATTGTTATGGTAAGGTAATAGACTGGAGAAGAAATCTTGTTGGTGAATTATTATTTTAAATCCAAAATGATTACTTAAAGGTTGAAGAATTACAATCAAGAAGTTAGAAAAACACAACAAAAATAATATGAAAGAAATACTAGTGAAATTTTAAAGGCAATTATTTTTCATCTATGATGCTTATGACATGAGGTTCATATTTTAAATAAAGTTGAAATTTGGTTAATTACAGAGTAATTCTTCTTAGTTATTTGTAACTAATTATGATGTAAATTCTAGAAATAAAATCTGACATGATACTGAGCTTAATGGCTAATTTTAGTGGCCTCCTAAATCGGTTTGCAGTAATATTATCTTGAAAGTTTTTTATTTAATAAAGTATTAATTTTATTCTGCTCAAACAGAGAACTCCAAAATAATGGTGAATAGCAAAAGCAACACCAGTACCAGTGTCACCATGGACAGCAAACCACTGGAGGATGTGTCCAACTGTAAATACTTGGGAGTAACCCTGTCAAAAGATGGCACCTACAATGCAGAAATGTGCACATAGATTGCCACAGCAACATCAGCGATGACCAGACTGAAAAGGATATGGAAGAGCAACATCAGCTTCCATGCCAAGTTCAAGCTCTATAAATAGCTAGTTGTATCCATCCTCCTCTACAAGTGTGAGACTTGGATACTCCCAGTTGAGGCAGAAAAAAGTGTTCAGTTATTTAAGAAAAAATGCTTGAGAAAGCTCTTCCACATCTACTTGGAGCACAAAACCAATGACTATGTATGGAGCAAGGTCAAAAGTCTTGCAGGCTGAGAAGAGTCTCTCCTCACAACTCAAGTGGTTATGCTTTGGCCATGTTACATGGCATAACCGCCTCTGGAAGACCATCATGAATGGCACTGTTGAAGGTGATCACAAGCGCAGACATCAATACAAAAGCTGTCAGACATCATCAAAGAGTGGATGGATATGACAATACGGAAATTCCCAAGAGACACTGACAACAATTAATCCTGGAGGCAGTTGTCTTAGTTTTCCTCTGTGCTTAGGTACCTCTGATGATTGAAGCAGTCAAGTGACTGATGATTACCATGCATTTTAATTTAAGGGTTATAGAATGATAGCTGTAAAAAATAATCAGAAATAAGATAGAGGAAAAACTATATGAAATTTAATAATGTGCTGTTGCTTATCTGATGGGTGAGGCATGCCAAGCAAAAACTTCTGAGTCAAGAGGAAACTTTTAGTTCTTAAGCAAGTTTATTTGTCTTCACTTGTAAACATTTTTTTCTGAAGATTTGTTTTTGCAATTTAAAAATAACAGCCTTGTATGATTGAACTTATAACTAGAAAGTTGGCAGAACTGGCTGTTTGGTCAATGAATACCAAATCCTTATAAGGAAATGACTATTATTAGTTTGGTTTGGTTTGTTTTATGGCATATCAACCTCAAGATTTTTATTGCTGGTAATAATGTATTGCTGATAATAATTTTTTTCTTCAAAATTCATTGCTGGTAATAATATTTTGCAAAAATGTGTTGCTGGTATTAAATTCTATTTTTATACTTTCATAGTGTTTTGACCCCAGTTTGGGGTTAACTATTTGCCCATAGCTGGGACCCTAACAGGTGCTACCACCCCAGGTCAGGGTGGACCTGGGAACACCAGCAATTAAGAGATAGTACCATGCTTCTCAAAACTTGATCAGAGGCCTTGCTGTCAGATGTAGTTTATTGTCTTACCCAGAATGCCATATTGGGGGGTTCTTACCTCTCTGAAGGCGTGCAGTCAGCGTATTCTGAAGCCCCATCTGACAGGGTAAGACAATTATTACCATTACCCTATCTCTTTTCTCATGATGTTGAAGCCAGGTCTTTTCTTGCCCATAATTTGCTGATGTTTCCAACTTCTTTTTTGAGTGTTCTCTGATATCCATTTGACTTGTTCAAAATCCTCAGCAGCCATCTTAGTTATTTATAGGTATTATTTATATATATTATTTTTTTATATATTTATTATTTACATATATTTTTCCTTAGTTAACACTTTAAAATTTTCTATATAGAGGGAAGAGTGTTTAATACTAGAGCATTTGTAGATATAAACAGATAGATTGCTGGTTGTTTAAGGCATGAAACTACCAGTCATTATGCAGTGTTAATTTCTTTATTTATTCTTTCTTTATATATATATATATATATATATATATATTGTGTATTTAGGCAGCAATCCCTCATTTATACATGTTTCATTAAAGGTGACAGACAAGGTACTGTGATTAGGCTTTTTATTTAATTATTCTTGTGTTCAAACAAGTGTTTTCTTTTCTGGACACAGTGTGTAGAAACTATCCATATGTTCTGCAATTCTGAATGCTTTCTGCTACACTGTTAGCCATTATCAAGGATTTTATTTTTACTTTTTAGCTGGATGTATGTGTTGTGTGTATGTATCTAGAATTATAAGGATGTTTTATTTTGCAAACACAGCACATTATGGCTGTGTTCATGGCTTTTTTCCTTTTATTATTAAGGCTTCCATCATTTTTAATCTTTTTTTTACATGTGGATGAGGTAATTATGCTTGTATTTTCTACTAGTATGATTTCGACAGAGTCTGGTAAGTATAGTTTGGAACTGGAATGAAAGCAGAGACAGTAAATCTTCTAAACATCCCAAATACCTCAGTATGTTGGTTTGGTTTGATTTGTTTTTTTTTTTGTTTTTTTTTAATGGCATGTCAACCTCAATGGGTTATTTAATGCCGATAAAATTTTTATTACTGGTAATATTTTTTCTTCAAAAATTTATTGCTGGTAATAATTTTTTACAAAGTATTTCTGGTATTAAAACTTATTTCTACACTTTCATAGAGTTTTGACCCCAGTTTGGGGGTCAACTATTTGCCCATAGCTGGGACCCTAGCAGGTGCTACCACCCTGGGTCAGGATGGGCCTGAGAACACCAGCAATTAAGAGGTG